CACCATAACTTGGAACTCCTGAGCTCGAGCCATCCTCCTGCCTCACACTACTACTATAACATCTGGCTAATTTAAAAAATTTTTTGTAGAGATGGAACCTTGCTATGTTGCCCAGGCTGGTCTTAAATTCCTGGCCTCAAGCGATCCTCCCGCCTTGGCTTCCCTAAGTGCTAGGGTTACAGGCGTGAGCAACTGCGCCCAGCCCAGAAGTTATTTTAAGGTGGAAGAGACTCATGCCAAAATAATGATGCCCCCTGACATGCCCCAGTCCTTCTATGTTTGGGTTGTAGTCGAGGAGTGTATGATTTTTTTTGGACATCACCACCAGAGCGTTTATACCTGTGCCAGGGAGCACTTACTGCACACTGGCTGTGTGTCAGGCACAACTCTAGGCTCTTTATGGCTAATGATCTTTCAGTGCTCACAGCCAGACCTAGGAAGGGGGCCACTATCCTTACTCTCATTTTACAGATGAGAAAACTGAGGAACAAAGAGGATAAATAGCTTACTCAAAGATACATATCCACGGCCGGGAGCAGTGGCTGATGCCTGTAATCCCAGCACTTTGGGAGGCCGAGGTGGGTGGATCACTTGAGGTCAAGAGTTTGAGACCAACCTGGCCATCTCTACTAAACATACAAAAATTACCCTGGCGTGGTGGTACAGCGCCTGTAATCGCAGCTACTTGGGAGGCTGAGGCACAAGAATCATTTGAACCTGGGAGGTGAAGGTTGCAGTGAGCCGAGATCTTATCAGCCTGGGTGACAGAGTGAGACTAACAAAAATAAAAAATAAAGTAAGACACACATTCAGTAAACAGTGGAACTTTAGGAACCCCATCAGTGAGCATGTGTGTGAGACTACTGGGTTGTGTAAGTTTGGCCTTAGGTAGATAGATACTGGGAACTTCTGCTAGGACCTCATCTGGTGGAGTCCAGGTGTGCATGTCTGATCCTGCAGCGCCCCCTGACGCTCACACTCTCACACTGTTCACTTGGCCCTTCCTGTGGCCCTGCCACTGGGAGGCTCCCTGGGTCCACCAGTACCTAGCCTGCAGTGCCACACCTGTCTTCGGCTTGCTCCCTTCAACTCCGCGTGGCTGCTGGGTCCTGGGGCAGAGAGGGGCTTTCAGGGAGCCTCAGGGAAGAGATACCTGAGAGGCATGAGGCCTGGAATCCCTGGAGCCTCCGCCTGGTATGGTCACTTCCCCCAGCCCCTGGGGCCGTGCTGGCCATTCCCCTCCCTCCCTGGGTGAAGGACGCCTTTGGTGGAGAGGGCTGGAGCTAGGACAGGGTCTGAGGCCTCAGCAGCTGGCTTCCCACCCTTTCCAGGGACTGCTGGTGTTGGCGATACCCAAGCTGGTAATGCCCCCACCTGTGTGGTGCACACTCAGGCCTCTGTACATTCAGGGTGGCCCACACCAGACCCCTGATTTCCAGGCCTCCTCCTGCTTGCCTTAAGGCTGTCCTAGAGGGGCTTCTTTTCCCTGACCTCTATGTCTGGTCGATCACCGGTCTTGTCTGCAGACTCTGAATCTAGAGCCCACCGGTGCCTCTCCATCCACCTGGAAGCCCACCCTGGTCCCCTCCCTGCTCCCTCTCCCCTCTCCTTCCTCTCCCCTCCCCCAGGCCCCCCTCCTCCATACAACAAATCTGTTCCCGTCACCCCCTGGTTAAAAACTTTCCAGGGCTCTCCACGAGCGTCAAGTCCACGCCCCACTCCCTTGCAGCCCACAAGCCCTCCCACGTTTGCTCTTTGCTGACCTCTCCAGCCCTACAGAGCTTCATTTCCTCCGTACATGTCTTCCTCCAGGCCTCTGCTCCTGTCGCTCCCTCTGCCAGGCACACCCTCCCCCCAACCCCCTACCCTTCCAGTCTTCTACGCTGGTCTGCAAGGTTGAATAACCTCTGTTCATTCTTCAGGTCTCAGCTGAGATGTCCCTCCTTCCCTGTCCCCCAAATCTGGGCTGATCTATATCTCTGTGTTCTCACACTCCTTTGTGTTCCCAATTACACACACATACTGTATTATTGGGGCCTGTTTTTTTTTTTTTTTTTTTTTTTTTTGAGGCAGGGTCTCACTCTGCTGCCCAGGCTGGAGTGCAGGGTCATAAACTCAGGTTACTGCAACCTCTGCCTCCCAGGTTCATGTGATTCTCCTGGCTCAGCCCTCTCTAGTAGCTGGGACTACAGGTGCACACTACCATGCCTTGCTAATTTCTGTATTTTTAGTAGAGATGGGGTTTTGCCATGTTGGCCTGGCTGGTCTTAAACTCCTGACCTCAGGTGATCCACTTGCCTCAGCCTCCCAAAATGCTGGGATTATGGGTGTGAGCCACTGCACCTGGCCAGGGCCTGTCTACTTCTCAGGCTCTACCAGCTTGTGAGGACTAATTTCCTTGGTGGAAGGAATGGGATGAGAACAGCAGGATTTCAATGTCACGTGGAAAACTTGGACTTGTATTAAGAGCTCTAGACAGGGAGCCACCGGAAGATTTCAAGCAGGGGAGTGACATGACTCAGAGCCCTTCTGGCTTTCTGTTCTCCTTCCTCCCCAAAATGAACTTTCCAGAACACAGCTGGTTCCAGCTGAAAATGAAAATGCTGGCTGGGCATGGTGGCTCATGCCTGCAATCCCAGCACTTTGGGAGGCCGAGGTAGGTGGATCGCCTGAAATCAGGAGTTTGAGACCGGCCTGGCCAACATGTTGAAACCCCGTCTCTACTAAAAATACCAAAAATGATCTGGATGTGGTGGTGGGCGCCTGTAATCCCAGCTACTAGGCAGGCTGAGGCAGGAGAATCTCCTGGACCCAGGAGGTGGAGGTTGCAGTGGGCCAAGATTGTATCATTGCACTTCAGCCTGGGTAGCAAGAGTGAAACTCCTAGCCAGGTGTGGTGGCTCACACCTGTAATCCCATCACTTTGGGAGATCGAGGCAGGTGGATCACCTGAGGTCAGGAGTTCAAGACCAGCCTGACCAACATGGTGAAACCCCGTTTCTACTAAAAATACAAAAAATTAGCCAGGTGTAGTGGTGGACGCCTGTAATCCCAGATATTTGGGAGGCTCGAACCCGGGAGGCGGAGGTTGCAGTGAGTCGAGATTGCACCATTGCACTCCAGGCTGGGTGACAAGAGCAAGATTCCGTCCAAAAAAATAAAATAAATAAAATAAAATAAAAAAGAAAAAGAAAATGCTTTTCATGTACCCATCAGCAGCTAGCAGTCTGACTGAGGAAGGGCATTTGTGGAACTGGAGCTGGTAGGATGGCATAACGGGGCAGGGAAGACTCTGGGATATGTATTGAAATCCAGGTGTTGGCTGGGCACAGAGGCTCACACCTATAATCCCAGTGTTTCGGAAGGTCGAGCCAGGAAGATCATTTAAGGCCAGGAATTTGAGGCCAGTCTGGGCAACATGGTAAGACCCTGTTCCTACAAAAACTAAAAAAATTATCTAGATATGGTGACACTCGCCTGTAGTCCCAGCTACTTGGGAGGCTAAGGTGGGAGGATCGTTTGAGCACAGGAGTTTGAGGCTGCAGTGAGCTACAATCCTGTCACTGCGCACCAGCATGGGCAACAGAGTGGACCCTGTCTCTAAAACAAGAACAAAAACAAACCCAGGTGTTTTAAAGAAGTGGTACATTGATCCTCAAAGAAAGAAATGTTTACTCCCACGCTGAAAACCTCTGGGTGCTTTTCACCTTTTGAAGCCCGAGTGGGTGGGTCACTTCTTTTCTCTGTGACAACAGCCCGACTGATGCCCTGGTCCAGATGTCCCCCCACACCCCAGCCTGTCTTGCTGTGTCTTGGTGGGTGCTCTTTTGGAGCTGTACTGAGCTCCCCAGAAGCTGGCCTCCCCAAGCCAGGAAGGGAGGGAGGACCCAGCACTGGGACTAGGAGCTGGCATCCAGCGCCCTGAGGGGCAGAGCTGGAGCTGGTGAGGGTCAGGTCCGGGTCACACTCGTGGCCTCCTGGATTCTGCTGTCTTGTGCAGGGGCCAGAACTGGACAGCAGAGAGCAGAAGACCCCTCCTACCTCAAGTCCAAGATATTAGTCAGGGGCTAAGGTCTGGTCTAGGCTGGATTCCCTGGTGCCCCAGGGCTTCTCCCATTTCAGGTCCCTGCCACTGGCATGTACCCTTCTGGCCAGGTTGGACAATGTCTGTGGGGGCCTGAGTATGGCTTTGGCACCTGAAGGCTCTGGGTTCAAGTTCAGCAGCCGCTATTCCCATACTCTGTGTTGCTCTCACTCAGCAAACATCCCGTGACTTCAGGTGCTGCCCAATCCTGGTGTGGGTGACATAGTGGGGTTAGGCTGATCCCCACTTTCGGAGAGCTCCTCTGAGTGGGAGACAGACACAGACACAGTGCTAGCCTCGGGTGGACTGTGCTCCAACGGACGCAGACTCTGGGCCACACAGCTCAGAGAAGGTAGGGAAGGCTTCCTGGAGGAGTGAGTCCTCCAAGAAGCTTGAAGAATGGGCTGGTACCTACCATGAAGCAAGTAGGAAAGGGACTTCAGGGAGAGGGAAGAACTTGCACAATGACCCAGAGATGGGAGGCAGCCTGGTGACTTTTCAAAAGAGCACAATGCCAGTCACAGAGCAGCTAACACTTTCAGGAACATTTGACATTTTTTTTAGACAGAGCCTCTCTCTGTCACCCAGGCTGGAATACAGTGGCATGATCTCAGCTCCCTGTAACCTCTGATTCCTGGGTTCAAGCGATTTCCTGCCTCAGCTTCCTGAGTAGCAGGGACTACAGGCAGGCGCCACTGCGCCTTGCTAATTTTTGTATTTTAAGTAGAGACGAAGATTCACCACGTTGGTCAGGCTGGTCTCGAACTCCTGATCTCAAGTGATCCACCTACTTTCACCTCCCAAAGTGCTGGGATTAAAGGCAGGAGCCACCGCGCCGAACCTTCAACATTTTCATAGAGTAATGAGAAGAACCCCAGCAGTCGTAGAAGCTATGGGAAGTAAAAACCATCAAATGTTGTCTTTATATGTGACAGTTTAAAGAGTTTTGGAGTCTGACTTCTTGGGTTCAAATTCCAGCTCTGTGACTTATTAGGTACATGACCAGGGACAAGTTACTTAAACAGGACCCCATGTACACCTGGTTGAGGTTAAAGTCTCAGCAGGGGGAGAAGTGAGCTGTCCTGTTGGGACTGTGCCACCACCCAGCCAAGAAGGTTCAGGTTCGGCCTCAGAGCTCCTCCTGGGCCTTTCTGCCCTGCTTCTGGTGCCATTGTTGAATCTTGCTGGGGAGCGTCTCTGACCAGAAAAGCATGCGGGCCTCCTTAAACTTCTGTCCGACCTGTGGCACTGGGTTGATCTCCAGATATTGTTCCACCTGGTTGAATCGGGGCCAAGGAGGCAAACCCTCGCTATTGGGGTCCCTGGGTGGGAGGAATGAATGAGGATCAAGGCTTACTGTGCTGTCCCCCAGAGGGGCCGATCTGGGCACCCCAGGCCCAAAGCCAGCTATGCCCATTCATTCACTCACCCTGTCCGGGCGAAGTGGGTCCACTGGGCCATCATGGTGAGGCTTAGTTGCTTTTCCTCCTCTGTGGCCTCTGGAAAGGCTGGAAAGGTGACAGGGACAGAACTGAATGAGAGTCAGGTGGGACCTGGAGGGGACCCAAGGGTCCTCGGCGCTGACTAGATACCTCTGTTCCTGCAAGCCCTGCCCAGGCCCCTTGGCGTTTGGCAGCCTAGGGATCACATGTCTGTCTATCTGTCCTCACCCAGGAGGGAGCTTTCATCCATGAGGAAGGGACCTCCAAACACAAAAGCGGTCTCAGCCCCATGATCAGCCTTCACCCAGGCAGGCTTGATCTTCGCAAAGGAACTGGGTCGATGCTGGAACTCATAGAAAAATACAGGGCTCCCAGCATCTACAAAGAAAGGAAGGGATAGGAGTTAGGCATCCACAGCCTGATTCAACCCTGCCTTTGGCAGCACATGCTCAGGATACCACCAATTTCCACGATGATGATCATGACCAAATCTAGCTACAAACATTTACTGGGCGCTTGCTAGGAGTCAGGCACCATTCTGTGTGCTTTCTGTTATCATTTTAATTTAAGGTAATATTTTTAATTTTTGAAGTGGTCTTGCTGTCGACTGCGCTGGAGTGCAGTGGTGTGATCACAGCTCACTGCAGCCTCAGGCTCCCGTGCTCAAGTGATCTTCCCACTTCAGCTTCCCAAGTATCTGGAACTACAGGTGTGCACCACCATGGCCAACTAATTAAAAAAAAAATGTGTAAAAATTGGGGTCAATAGGTTGCCCAGGCTGGTCTTGAACTCCTGGGCTCAAGTGATCCTCTCGCTTCTCCCAAAGTACTGGGATTACAAGAATGAGCCACCCAACTCGCCTGGCTGGTGTCATCATTTATTTAATACCTGTCACAATAGATTAAGTGTATATTAATATAATTAATAGATTTGATTCTATTTTTATTTCCATTTTGCAAAGGAGAAAACGGAGGCACAGAGTGGGTAGGTATCTTGGCCAAGGTCACAATTTTTAAAACTTGGAACTGTTCTGTGTCTGTGTCAGGGATTAGCTACTCGGCTTGGAGGAAGCAAGACTTTTATCTCAGAAGTGCTGAAAGAGGATGAAATCACTCAATTGAGTGAGTCTCTGAGAATTAGTGACAGGCCTGCTGGGTGACCCTTGATGAGCCACTGTACCTCTCTGAGCCTTGATTTTCCTCCTCTGCAAAATTCCCTACTGGAGACACTTCTCATTATTGTGACGCTGCATCCCAGAGAAAGAGGGGTTTCGGGGTGGCAGTGGGCTGTGGGGTGCAAGGCATCAGGAAGTCAGTACCCTCTCATGCCACGTCACCTGTGATGACCCAGCTCCTTCCATCAAGTGGGAGGGATTGAGCAGGTGGCCAGGGACAGGCTTACCTCGAAGGTGTCTTGAAAAACTGAAGGTGGGCGCATTGAAGAGCATGTCACCCATCAATTCCTGGAAGGCCTGGCGTTTGGCTTGTGGATCCAAGTCGCTGCCTAGGTATTCATCTATGATGGTGGGCAGCATCTCAGGGGGCATATCCTGGGGCAGGAGGCTAGGCTTAGGCCTGCTCAGCATGCACAGCTATGGCAGACCCTCCCAAGAAGCCCAGACTCTCCGGTATAGCTTCCCTCAGTTCCCAGGGCTCATGGTCCAGGGAACAGCCAGCTACCTCTCTGCCTCCCTGGGAGTTTGGGATAAGCTGAGGTTTGGAGTCAAGTCCTAGCTCTGCAACCACTGACCTCAAACAGGTGGCTAGACCTCTCTGAAAGTCAGTCTCTGCCAGGTAGCCTATGTGAAGTCCCCAGCAAAGGGTCTGGCCTGGAAGCAGGTGCTCAGTTGAAGTTAACTGGGAAGTAAATGAGAGCAGAAATGATGGAGGCTCCCCTCAGCTCCAGAGGGCAGTGATGAGGTTGTATGAATGGGAAGGGCTCTGGGGCTTCCAAAGAAGGGAAATGTATTAAGATTGAACAGCTCCTGGTATTGAGATCCCAGGTAGACTTCTCAAATGCAACGTCTAGTCTCTTTCTTACAATGGCCCAGGCAAATGGGCAGCAGCATCCCCATTTATAGATGAAGAAATGGGCTTAGAGGGGATTGGATAACTGGGCCAACAGTGGCCTGGGCTGGGATTTGGTCCCAGGTCTATCTGGCTCCACATCTGACAGCTGAGGCTCTGGGGTCAGGCAGAACTGGCTTAACCTCTGCCTCTGCCCCTTCTCCACCATGGCAGCTCAAGCCTCAGTTTCCTCATCTGTAAAATGGGGACAGTGAGAATTCCTCTGCAAAGTGTTGCAATGAGGATTGAGGGAGATGAATGCCTCTCCTAGTGTCGGTGCAGCACAGTCCCTGGCACGTAAATGTGCTCATTAACGGGCAGTTTTATCTTGACAATGATGGTGATGAAGATTTTCCTTTGAGAACCACATTGACTCATGCCTAAGGAGATTCCCAAGGGAACACAAATGCGGCCGTTAGACCAAGAGGCTTGGTGGTAGTTGGTACTGTGGATGTCGGAAGTAGGAGCAGAGACTGTGCTATTGGATAGGACACCCACTGGCCTCCTCCCTCCTGCCTCTTATCTCACCAGACTGCTCAAGAAGGGTGTCAAGAAAGCCAGCGTGTCCTCCCGGCTCATCTGTTCCATTGTATCCAGGAGACCCCAGCCCTGTGTGGACACCAAGGCCCTCTCAGTGAAGCCTGACCACTGCCCCACCCCCCCCACTCCCATCCCTGGGCAAGTGAGTGTTCACAGCCCTGCACCCAGAAACTCATTATGGAGCCAAATATGGCTGAACCAAGTCCACACACCCAAAAAGATAAACCTGAAATTGGTGGGAGATGGGTATGGGTGGGGGGAGCAGTCCAAATACAACAGGCAAGTGGTTAATGGCAGTATTGTAGAGAACAGAAGAATTTGTTCAACATTTTTTTTTGTTTGAGATGGAGTCTCATTCTGTTGCCCAAGCTGGAATGTGGTGGCACGATCTCGGCTCACTGCAACCTCTACTTCCCAGGTTCAAGTGATTCTGCTGCCTCAGCCTCCTGAGTAGCTGGGACTACATACGTACTAGTAGTAGACGGATGCTAGGCCCCGCTAATTTTTGTATTTTTAATAGAGGTGGGGTTTCGCCATGTAGGCTAGGCTGCTCTCAAGCTCCTGGACTTCAAGTGATCCACCCACCTTGGCCTCTCAAAGTGCTGGGATTACAGTCTGAGTCACTACACCCAGCTAATTTTTTTATATTTTAGTAGAGATGAGGTTTTACCCTGTTGGCCAGGATGGTCTCTAACTCCTGATCTCGTTATCTGCCCACCTTGTACTCCCAAAGTGCTGAGATTATAGGTGTAAGCCGCCATGCCTGGCCCTAAAGTTGCTTTGTTACTAGGCTCTTTGTTAATTTGTAAGAACAGGAACAGAAATTCACAGATTGATAAACAGAAAGTATACACAAAAGGGAATGTTAACCTTCACTAGGAATTAAAGAAATACACAGAAAATTGGCTGGGCGTAGTGAGACTCATGGTTATAATCCCAGCACTTTGGAAGACAGAGGTGGGAAGATTACTTGAGCCTAGGAATTCAAGACCAGCTTGCACAACATAACAAGACTCCATTTCTAAAAAAATAAAAGAAAGAAAGAAAGTTGGGTGTAGTGGCATGCCTACTGAGTAGTCCTGGCTACTCTCTGGAGTGGAAGGATAGGTTGGGTGCAAGAGTTAGAGGCTGCAGTGAGCTGTGATTGAGCCACTGCACTCCAGCCTGGGGAACAGAGCTAGAACTTGTCTCAAAAAAAATGCTCAATATATTTATTTATTTATTTATTATTAATTTTTTTGAGATGGAGTCTTGCTCTTATTGCCCAGGCTGGAGTGCAGCAGCACGATCTTGGCTCACTGCAATCTCTACCTCCTAGGTTCAAACAATTCTGCCTCAGCCTCCCAAGTAGCTGGGATTACAGGCACCCGCCACCACCCTTGGCAATTTTTTTTTTTTTTAAATAGAAATGTCGATATGTGGCCTGGGCTGATGTTGAATTCCTGGGCTCAAGCGATCCATCTGCTTTGGCCTCCCAAAGTGTTGGGATTACAGGCGTGAGCTACCCTGCCTGGCTTACATATTTTACCTTATTTATTTATTTACTAATAAATAAACACATTTGATTGATTGATTGATTGATTGATACAGGGTCTGGCTCTGCTTCCCAGGCTAGAGTGCAGTGCTGAGATCTTGGCTCACTGCAAACTCCATTTCCCAGTTTCAAGCAATCCTCCTGCCTCAGCTTCCTGAATAGCTGGGATTACAGACACCACCACACTTGGTTAAATTTTGTACTTTTAATAGAGATGGGTATTGCCATGTTGGCCAGGCTATTCTCAAACTCCTGACTTCAGGTAATCCACAGAGTGCTACGATTGCAAGCATGAGCCACCATGCCCAGACTGAATCCCCCACTTCTAAGAAACATACAGCAACAAGTCCTGGACACAGCCTTCCATGCCAGGCAGATTTCCCAGGTCCTGGGGGCCAGCCAGGTTGGGGTTCCCTTGGTTTCAGCTGTAAGTTGATGGTGTGGGGTCAAGGCTGCCTGCCAGAGTCTAGGGTATTGACCTGAAAACTTCTACAAGCTTTTTCTTTTCCATTTCTTTTCTTTTCTTTTCTTTTCTTGATGGAGTTTCACTCTTTGTTGCCCAGGCTGGAGTGCAGTGGCACAATCTCAGCTCACCGCAACCTCTACCTCTTGGGTTCGAGTGATTATCCTGCCCCAGCCTCCTGACTAGCTGGGATTACAGGCATGCGCCACCATGCCCAGCTAATTTTGTATTTTTTAGTAGAAATGGGGTTTCTCCATGTTTGTCAGACTGGTCTCAAACTCCTGACCTCAGGTGATCTGCCTACCTTGGCCTCCCAAAGTGTTGGGATTACAGGCATGAGTCACCGCAACAGGCCAATTTTTTTTTTTTTTTTTTTTTTTTTTGGCCAGTGTCTCACTCTGTTGCCCAGGCTGGAGTACAGTAGCACAATCTCAGCTCACTGCAGCCTCTGCCTCCAGGGTTCAAGTGATTCTCATGCCTCAGCCTACTGAGTAGCTGGGATAGTAAGCATGTACCACCATGCCCAGCTAATTTTTGTATTTTTAGTAAAGATGGGGTTTCACCCACCTCAGCCTCCCAAAGGGCTGGGATTACAGGTGTGAGCCACTGTACCCGGCCCAAGCTTTGTCTTTGAGTGTCAAGATTGCATGAGCCTCTGTCTCACATACCAAGGGACCAGTGTGAGGGGATTGATTCCAAAGGGCCAAGTCAGAGGACAAAAGTGTGGACATGAAGATATTCACTACACTATTAGCCTTAGTGGTAAAAACTAGAAGTTGCCAGGGCTGGGCGCCATGGCTTATGCCTATAATCCCAGCACTTTGGGAAGGCAAGGCTGGCAGATCACCCGAGGTCAGGAGTTCGAGACCAGCCTGACCAACATGGAGAAACCTTGTCTCTACTAAAAAAAAAAATACAGGGTGGGCGTTGTGGCACACACCTGTAATCCCAGCACGTTGGGAGGCCCAGGTGGGCAGATCATGAGGTCAGGAGTTAGAGACCAGCCTGGCCAACATGGTGAAATCCTGTCTTTACTAAAAATACAAACAATTAGCTGGGCATGGCGGCACGTGCCTGCAATCCCAGCTACTCAGGAGGCTGAGGCAGAAAAATTGCTGGAACCTGGGAGGCGGAGGTTGCAGTGAGCCAAGGTCATGCCACTACACTTTAGCCTGGGCAACAGTGAGACTCTTCTAAAAAACAAAACAAAACAAAACAAAACTGAGCATGGTGGTGCATGCCTGTAATCCCAGCTACTCAGGAGACTGAGGCAGGAATCAGTTGAACCCAGGAGGTGGAGGTTGCAGTGAGTCGAGATTGTGCCACTGCACTCCACCCTGGGTGACAAGAGTAAAACTTCTGAAAAAAAAAAAAAAAAAAAAAAAAAAAAAAAAAAAAAGTTGCCCAAATGCCAAGATGAAGGAACAATGTAACGAAACCCTCCGTTTGTGGAAGGTTCATGGCCATTAAAAGTGATTGCTTGGCTGGTGCAGTGATTCATGCCTGTAATCCCAGCACTTTGGGAGGTCCAGATAGGAGGATTGCTTGAGGCCAGATGCTCTAGATCAGCGTGGGTAACAGAGGGAGACCTGTCTCTACAGAGAAAAAAAAAAAAAATTAGCAGAGTGTGGTGGCACAGACCTGAAGTCCCAGTTACTCAGGAAGCTGGGAGGATCGCTTGGGCCTGAGAGGCCGAGGCAGTGGTGAGTCCTGATCATGCTACTGCACTCCAGCCTGGGCGATGCATCGAGACTTTGTCTCAAAAAAAAAAAGGGATTGCTTTGTCTTAGGGTATCCATCCAATGTGGCAAGGTGGAAAAAAAAAAAAAAAGAAGAAAAGTGATTGCTGTGAAGATGGGTAGAAGAATAAGAATGACATAAACAAGATGCTTGGGATGAAAGCACAGCGCTGACACTCTTTCTTGTGGGACGTTCTATGTACCTGCAAAGGACTGGAAGGCACTTCGCTCATGAGGTCCCCAGTGGCTTGATAGCTAAAACCTGAGAGTCTTAGTCAATCGTTCTGGCACAAAGTCATGCTAACCAATCTTATAGAGCCTGATGTATAAACCAGACGCAAAGGTTAGGAACATGCTGCGCAGATCAGCACTGCCCAGGAGGCCATTTTGTGCAAAAGCCTAGTTCCCTAAAAGGAAACATTTGCTAGGGTGGGAGGTACTGGCTGGGGCAGGGCCTTGAAGGGCACAGATGCCGGAGGACACTCACCCTGGGAATGAGCCAGCTGAACTCATGGTTGTTGACACCCATGAGGAAGGGCACCGAGTGGAAGTGCTTCTCCTTCAGGAGCTCCTTGGGGCTTTTGGGGAAGACAGTGCCATCGACGGTCAAAGGATAGATAGTAATTTTCTGCAGGAGAAAGCAATGCAGGAGGCGCCCACGTTAGGGCCAAACCTCAAAGGATAGGACCCCAAGAGTCACAGCCATAGGACTGAGTGGCTGAGCCTGGAGGGAAAGTGAAGGGATGGAGATCACCAGGGCTAAGGGGATTGGGGGAAGCGGGAGATCAGGGCAACACATGCTTCCAGTTTCTTTCCTAGAAAGAAACTGGAAACATCCCCCCGCTGCTGTGGGGATGGGGATGGCCCTCAGTTTCTGTCCCCAACCCTTCAGCCCCTTCGCCTCATGAGTGGCTGTCCCCAGCCCCACCTGGGAGAAGACTGCCCCTCTGTTCCTGCAGGGGATGGACAGAACCCCCTCTGTGCCACTGCCCGGCACCATTCCCAAAAAGGTGGCCATACCAGCTTCTTGCTAAGGACTAGCTCTTCTCCTTCCTTCTGCCGAAGGCACTGCACCATCTCAGCTGGGGAGCTGGAGTTGCAGGCCATGGAGTTTGCAATGTTCTGGGGACAGATGAAAGAGTCATGCCTCCCTCCCAGCCACTCAGCCCCCACCTTGCAGCCTTCTGCCTCCCACAGAGAGAGGGTGCATCTGTAGGACAGCTGAGTGTGATGTCACATATCAGCCCCGAGGCTGGTCAGAGACTTGCCACCACCCCTAAGAAGCCCACCCTGCCCTTCAGCTTGGGTGGTCTCAAGGGCCTCTGTGTGTTCTGTATTATACCATAGTGTTATTATCTGGGGAGAATGGGGTGCTGAGTACTTATTACCCTCTAAGAATAATGTCATTATCTATTTGATTTTTGAAGACAGTCTCGCTCTGTCCCCCAGGCTGGAGTGCAGTGGTGTGATCTTGGCCATTGCAACTTCTGCATCTCAGGTTCAAGTGATTCTCCTGCCTCAGCCTTCCAAGTAGCTGGGATTACAGGCATGTACCACCACTCCTGGTTAATTTTTTGTATTTTTGGTAGAGACTGTTTCGCCATGTTGGGTAGGCTGGTCTTAAACTTCAGACCTCAGGTGATCCACCCACCTCGGCCTCTCAAAGTGCTGGGATTGCAGGGATGAGCCCCTGTCCATGGCCTATAGTGTCATCATCTATTAATACCTAATTATATTAGTGCCTGCTATATTACTACTAACTATATTAATAGTTAGGTATCTATTAATACCTAACTATTTTTTAGTCTCCCTCTGTCACCAGGCTGGAGTGCAGTGGTGCGGTCTCGGCTCACTGCAACCTTCACGTCCTGGAGGTTGTTCAAGCAATTCTCCTGAATCAGCTTCCTGAGTAGCTGGGACGACAGGCATATACCACCACGCCCAGCTAATTTTTGTAATTTTAGTAGAGACAGGGTTTCACCATGTTGGCCAGGATGGTCTTGATCTCTTGATCTCATGATCCACCAACCTTGGCCTCCCAAAGTGCTGGGATTACAGGTGTGAGCCACGGTGGCTGGCCATACCTAACTATTAATACCCACAGCCACAGGTCTATAGAGTCTGTGGAGTAAAACGGAAATGAGACAAGGTTTAGTAAGGAAGGTGTTGCAGCATTTGCTGCAAGTCCGACGGGAAAGGGTGAAGGAAGCTGAGGCTGGAGCAGGGCCAGGGAATGAGTGGAAAGTGAGGCTGGAGGGATAGCTTCAGGACAGCTCACAGGCTGAAAAAACCAAGCCAGGGCATGTGGACATTAGCAGGATTGCTAATATTCTTTTAGGGAGAGAATGGCTGAGCTGGGTTTTTCTTCGGACAGAGGAGAGACGGGGAATGACCTCAGGCCTGTGATCGAGAAAATCTCTCTTGGCCATGGGGAGGGGATGGGTTGGGGAGGCTGAGAGGTGGATGCTGTTTTCTATACAAGAGTCAACATGCCTGGCTGAGGGTGGTGCCTTACGCTTGTAATCCCAGCATTTTGGGAGGCTGAGGTGGGCAAATCACCAGATCAGGAATTTGAGACCAGCCTGGCCAACATGGTGAAACCCTGTCCCTACTAAAAATACAAAAATTAGCCGGGCTTGGTGGCCAGCACCTGCAATCCCAGCTACTCGGGAGGCTGAGGCAGAAGAATCGCTTGAACCCGGGAGGCAGAGGTTGCAGTGAGCTGATTTTGCACCACTGCACTCCAGCCTTGGAGAGCTGTGAGATTCCATCTAAAAAAAAAAGTCAACATACCCATGTTGAGGTTCCAGAATCATTTTGTATCCAGTGATTAAGATGCCCAGCCCACTCTGCCTTGGCTGCCATCTGGGGCCAGGTGAGGGCACTGACCCAGCCTTCCAAATCCTGCTCACATTACCCCCCTCTCCCCTCCATGGCTCTATTTCTGTTCTATCCTGTCCTCTGCCCTGGACTCTGCCCTGGCCATTTCACTGGCCTCTTGGTCTTCAGGATGACTCTCTCCAACCCATCTTCTACTCCAAGTAGCTCAACCTTGCCTTGCTCGGCTTGTTCCTGGCCTCTGGATAGAGTCCAGATTCCCAGCCTGGCCCCCACTTCTCCAGCGCCTTCAGTTCCTGCCCTGTCCCCTAACCTGAGAGCTTGCTGCTGCAGGACCTGCCACTCTGTCCCACAATTGCAGCCTTTGCAGGTGCAGTTCCCGCTGTGGCTTCCCCTGGCTTCTCTTCACAAAGCATTACAATGAGGATCTAGGGTGGGGATCCAGAGCCTGAATGGAGACCTCTCAGGCAGCAGGTGGCTGGGAATGGAGACCCACTCCACCATGGTGCTTGGGGCAGAGAGGGGTGCTCCTGAAGACCCCACTTGGAGAAAGGGCCAATGATAATGTGCTTCAGGGTGGCCTCCTTCAGGAAGCCCTCCCTGACTGCCCACATGCTGGAATGCAGCAGTTGTTTCCTCTGATTTTCCTTTATCCTAGTGGGCTTGTCTTTGCTAACAGAGAGCTCCCTGCCAGCAGTCCCCGCTACTCTGAGACCCCAGGGCCAGCACAGAGTGGGGTATGGGAGGCACACATAGAATAAGAGAGGGAAGGAAATGCAGACCTGAGCCAGGGGCCAGTGGTGAGACTTCATTATCCCTGGCATGGTGATGACCCCGCTCTGTGTGATGACTCTGTGGAACAGCCCCGAAGCCACTGGGGACAGGACCTGAGTGCAGTGGAGAGAGCAGGTGGCTGTCAGAGGAGGGCAGAGGAGCTGGGAGGTCTGAGGGCACAGGAGCCCTCCTGATCACATTGCTGGGTCCCTGTCATGACTCACCAGGCCAGAGGCAATGATTCCACCAGCGGATCCACCAAAGATGGTGACACAGTTGAGGTCACCCCCGAAGGGGGTGATGTTTCCCTGCACCCAGCGCAGAGCAGCCACCACATCTAGGAAGCCCTGGTTGCCAGGTGCATGCTCATCCCCGGTGCTGGGGGCAGGGTGGGGCAAAGGTTAGTTCAGCCTGGCTCCTCGCCAGCCTCTGTAGGTTTGCTTGGAATCAGCCACCAGGATGCCAGGCCCTCCTCTGCTCCCCAGGTCTGGCCTGACTGGGAGCCATGCTTGGCATCTACATGCCCAGCACGTGGTATAGGCAGGTGTGGCTGAATGGCCAGCCAGGATTGGTTCTCATGGCTGCCAGAGCCTGTTGCTCTTTGTCCCATATCCTGCTGGAACCTGGGCTCCAGCCTCGAAATCAATGACCTCTGCCCAAGGGACCACATTTGCTGTATACTTCTGGCTTTGGCTGGACCCCTCTCCCGGGGTGGAGGCTTAGGGAGTGCCCTTCTCTGCCCCAGACAGCATGGGTAAGGAGCCTTCCATTCAGGATCTGGACCCCAGCCTAGATCCCCAGGTGCTCTGGTGAGCTGGCTTCTCCCCGGTGCAGGGAGTGCTCTGGCCAGCCCTGCCATCTCACCTGAAGAAGCCAAGGACCCCGAGGCGGTACTGGACGGTAACCACGACCACATCCCCATAGGCAGCCAGGGCCGATCCATCATAGGAGGAGGCAGCGCCAATTGCCAGAGAGCCTCCATGGAACCATACCATGACCTGCAGAGGTGGCCATGGGGCAGTGACTCCCAAGCTCTTGGGACCTCAGCTACCCACCTGCCAGCCCAGGGCATTCTCAGAACCTCTAGGGTGGTTTGGAAACTGGGACGGGGAGGGGACAGGGGGGCAGAGTGGAGCTGGATCAGGTGGACAGGGCCCTCTGGGTAGCCCACCGGCCTCCTGGCCCATATGGTGGCCTCAGCTGGGCTGTAGATGTTGAGGACCAGGCAGTCCTCCGAAACAGAGAAGATCTGATGTTTTCCGTTGAGCATAAATCTGTTGTTGTTCATTCTCTCCACATCTTGCAGGCACCTGTGGCCAAGGACAGGCCTGAGGTCCAGCTGTTCAGCCCCACAAGCCCCAGCTGCAGGATTCCTCACAGCCTGGCTGTTTGCCACCTCCACCACCACTACTCACATTGGGGGCGCAGTGCTGGCATCCCGCACACCCTCCCAGGGCTGTGCTGGGGATGGGGCTGAGAACCGGTCAGGGCCTAGTGGCGCCCGGGCAAATGGAATGCCCAGGAAGACATTCACAAGGCGGTCTGTGCCCTTCACGCCCACCTGCCGGCCTCGCACACGGCCCAGGGTGGTATCTACTTCAGGTTGAGCAACTTCAGGCCCTGAGGGAAGGACAGAGGGGTCATGGGGTGAGTTTGCAGCCTCCATGAGGGGAAGGAGTGAAAGACAGACACTCAGGCTGTTCTCAGTACTTACCACACAGCACCTTGGTAACCTTGCCAGCAACTTGCTGAGCCTGGTCTTAGGTTGACTCCCAACTTCCTCTTCTCTGCCTGCCCAAGAGGCACCACCACTCCACTCCAGGCCAGATCGGGCCTGCCACTGGAGCCTTGAGCCTCGGGACCAGCCACTTCCCATTTGCTTGTTTTTTTTTTGTTTTTGTTTTTTTTGAGACAGGGTCTAGCTTTGTTGCCCAAGCTGGAGTGCAGCGGCACAATCTCAGCTCACTGCAATTTCTGACTCTTGGGTTCAAGTGATTAGAGTCTCAGCCTCTCAAGTAGCTGGGATCACAGGCACACACTACAATGCCTGGGTAATTTTTGTATTTTTAGTAGAGATGGAGTTTCACCATGTTGTCCAGTCTGGTCTTGAACTCCTGACCTCAAGTAATCTACCACCTGGCCCTCCCAAAGTGCTGGGATTATAGGCATGAGCCATCACACCTGGCCCAGAATTATTTTCCTAAAAATAGAGAAGGAGTCTCACTATGTTGCACAGACTGGTCTCAAATGCCTAGGCTCAAGCAATCCTCCCACCTCGGCCTCCCCAAGTGCCGGGATTACAAGCGTGCACCATCATGCCCAGCTGGCACCATGTTTCTTGTGCGACCTGTAGAACTGTGGGTCAAATAAGCCTCTTTTCTTTGTGAATTGTCCAGCTTCATGTATTCTTTTACAACAACACAAACAGACTAAGACCAGAGGACCACCTCTCCCAGGGCTAGACAATGCCTAGACATAGGAGGCAGCTCCCTAGGGAGTTGGAATTGGCAGGCAACTCTCTAGGGAGCAAATGCAAAACAGTCCAGAGCCATCCCCCAACCACCTCCTGTATACAGCTCTCAGCTCCTGGCTACCATCCACAGGCCCTAATCACCCTAGAGCCAGGGACCAGGAAGCTGGGGACAGCCCCTTTGCCTCAGAGCCTACTGCCAATCCTACACCTGTCTAGCCTGCCTTGCCTATTCCTTCCTGCAGAAACTATGGCAAAGGGGCTTGCCCACATTTTCCCCCTGCTCCCTCTGCCTCCTGGTTGACGCCACCTGGTGCTTCCCTCTGTGGCCCTGTGTGCCATGGCCTGCTTCCTGTTCACAGAGAACTGTGAGCGAACTCCTTCTCTGGTGATAGTCATCTGGATATCTACTTGTCTTACTACACTTGATTAAAACAAATCTCAGGCCCCCTTAAAACATAAAGACAGGCTGGGCACGGTGGCTCATGCCTGCAATCCCAGCACTTTGGGAGGCCAAGGTGGGTGGATCAGCTGAGATCAGGCATTTGAGACCAGCCTGGCCACATGGTGAAACCCCATCTCTACTAAAAATACAAAAATTAGCTGTGCATGGTGGCAGGTGCCTGTCATCCCAGCTACTCAGGAGGTTGAGTCAGGAGAATCGCTGGAACCCAGGATTCAGAGGTTGCAGGGAGCCGAGATTGCATCATTGCACTCCAGCCTGGGTGACAAGAGTGAAACTCTGTCTCAAAAACAACAACAACAACAACAAACATAACAAGAGCAAATCCCCTGCCCAGAGAGAATGCACAACCCCTGCACTGTCTCCAAACAGGACTCTTTCCTGAGCGGGCTGCCCACTGCTCCCTGTCCCTGTCTCACTCTTGACTCCTCCATACCAAGTCCCCCTGCAGGCCCAACAGGTGTGTCTTACCACGGGCTGTGGCAAGGCATGCCAGGAGCAGACAGGCCACCCCGACCAGGACCCCAGACTCCACTCTCACTGTTGTCTCCATTCTCCTTACAACTGGTTGGACAGAAGCTTCAGAAAGTGGAATGAGGTCCCTGCCCTTTGTCACCACCAATCTCTAAAGGGCAGTGTTGTTAACCTCCATGGACAGCCCCACCTAGTTGGTGGCCAGCCCCTGGACCCAGTGCCTCGTCCTCAGGCTGAGTCAGAGGCAGGGCTGGATGAGTGCCCGGCAGAGACTGGATGATGATAGCCCTCCCCCATCCACTGTTTCCAAATTCCAGCTCTCCTGACTTGATCTCCATGAAATCCTGTGCGTTCATTCCAAGATGCCCACATCACTGACCCAAAGAATTGGTGGCCAGTGACCCTGGGGTGCCACTTTGAGTGGACAGTCCAGCCTTGGGTGAGAGCTTCATATGGTTTGGATGTTTTGTCCCCTCCAAATCTCATGTTGAAATGTGACTTTCAGGCCAAGCGTGGTGGCTCACACTTGTAATCTCAGCACTTTGGGAGGCCAAGACGGGTGTATCACTGAAGGTTGGGAGTTTGAGACCAGTCTGGTCAACATGGTGAAACCCGTGTCTACTACAAATACAAAAAATTTAGCTGGGCATGGTGGTGGGTGCATGTAATCTCAGCTACTCAGGAGGCTGAGATGAGAATTGCTTGAACCTGGGAGGTGGAAGTTGCAGTGAGCTGGATCACGCCACTGCATTCCAGCCTGGGCAATAGAACCAGACAAAAAAAGCAATGTGACCTTCAGTGTTGGAGGTGGGTCTAGTGGGAGGGAATTAGATCAGGGGAGTAGATCTCTCATGAATGACTTGGTGCAGTCCTCCTGGTAATGAGTGAGTTCTCTATAAATTCACTTAAGATCTGGTTGTTTATATTTTATTTTATTTATTTTGGAGACAGTTTCACTCTTTTTGCCCAGGCTGGAGGGCAGTGGTGCAATCTCAGCTGACTGCAACCTTTGTTTCCTGGGTTCAAGCGATTCTCTTGCCTCAGCTGCCTGAGTAGCTGGGATTACAGGCACCTGCCTTCATGCCCAGCTAATTTTTGTATTTTTAGTAGAGATGGAGTTTCACCATGTTGGCCAGGTTGGTCTCAAACGCCTGACCTCAGGTGATCCACCCGCCTCGGCCTCCCAAAGTGCTGGATTACAGGCATGAGCCGCCGCACCCAGCTGAAGATCTGGTTGTTTAAAAGAGCCAGGCAGGGAGTGCAATGGCTCATGCCTGTAGTCCCAGCACTTTGGGTGGCTGAGGCAGGCAGATCACGAGGTCAAGAGATCGAGACCATCCTGACCAACATAGTGAAACTCCATCTCTATTAAAAATACAAAAATTAGCTGGGTGTGGTGCCATGTGCCTGTGGTCCCAGCTACTCAGGAGGCTGAGGCAGGAGAATCGCTTGAACCCAGGAGGTAGAGGTGCATGGAGCCAAGATCATGCCACTGCACTCCAGCCTGGCAACAGAGCAAGACTCCAACTCAAAAGGGAAAAAAAAAAAAAAAAAAAAAAAAAAAAAAGAGTCTGGCAGCCTGGGTCAGTGGCTCATGTCTGAAATCCGAGCACTTTGGGAGGCCAAGGTGGGTTGGCAGATCACTTGACCCCAGGAGTTCCAGACAAGCCTAGGCAACATGGTGAAACCCTATTTCTACAAAAGATACAGAAATTAGCTGGGCATGGTGGTACACGCCTGTAGTCCCAGCTATTTGGGAGGCTGAGGCAGGAGGATCAATTGAGGCCAGGGAGTCAAGGCTGCAGTGAGCTGTGATGGCCTGGGCAACAGGGCAAGACCCTGCCTCAAAAAATGAAAGAAAAAATACAAAAGAACCTGGCATTTCTCTTGCTCTCTCTCTCGCCATGTGATGACATCTGCCACATTATAAGCTTTCTAAGGCCTCAACAGAAGCTAAGCAGATGCTGGCAATATGCTTGTACAGCCTGCAGAACTGCAAGGCAAAGTAACCTCTTTTTTTCTTTCTTTTTTTTTTTTTTTTAATAAACAACCCAGCTAAGTCCTTTTTGTTTGTTTGTTTGTTTGTTATGGAGACTGAGTTTTGCTGTTGTTGACCAAGCTGGAGTGCAATTTTACAATCTTGGCTCACCACAACCTCAGCATCCCGTGTTCAAGCAATTTTCCTGCCTCAGCCTTCTGAGTAGCTAGAATTACAGGTGTCCACCCCCATGTCCAACTATTTTTGTGTGTGTGTGTATTTTCAGTAGAGACAGGGTTTCACCATGTTGGCCAGGCTGGTCTCAAACTCCTGACCTCTGGTGATCCACCCACCTTGGCATCCCAGAGTGCCAGGATTACAGGTGTGAGCCATCACGCCCGGCCCCAGGTATTTCTTTATACCAATGCAAAATGGACTAATGCATGGCAGGTGTCCAGTCTTGCCTACTAGTTCTGTGCCTGAGCCTTGATGTGGGGTTGGGGAAACTGATGTTGATTTTTTTCTTAAATTGAGGTGAAATTCACATACAATTAACTATTATAAAGCATACAATTCAGTGGCAATTAGTAGATTCCAAATATTACACAACTACCACATTTCTAGACACAAAACATTTTCATCACCCCAGCAAAAACACTTCATAACCATTAAAGGCTGGGCACGGTGGCTTGCACCTGTAATCCCAGCAATTTGGGAGGACGAGGTGGGGCAAATCACCTGAGGTCAGGAGTTTGAGACCAGCCTGGCCAACATGGTGACAGCCCATCTCTACTAAAAATACAAAAATTAGCCAGGTGTGGTGGTGTGCACCTGTAATCTCAGCTACTCAGGAGGCTGAGGCAGGAGAATTGCTTGAAACCAGGAGGCAGAGGTTGCAGTGAGCCACAATTGAGCCACTGCACTCCAACCTGGGCAGAGGGAAACTCGGTCTCACAAAAACAAAACAAAACACTTTGTAACATTTAAAAAATAATCATTACCCGTTCCACCTGATTACCACTAATTTGCTATGATTTACCTATTCCAGATATATCATATAAAAACAATTATACAGACCAGGAATGGTGGCTCATGCCTATAATCTAGGCACTTTGGGAAGCCAAGTTGGGAGTATCACTTGAGGCCAGGAGTTTGAGACCAGCCTTGGCAACAATATTGAGAACTTGTCCCTACAAAAAATAAAAATATAAAGAATCATACAGTAAGTGATGTTTTTTGTGTGGCTTCTTCCACTTAGCATAATGTTTTTGAGGTTCATCCAAATTGTAGCAGGTATCAGTTTTTTTTTTTTTTTTTGAGACAGAGTTTCACTCTTGTTGCCCAGGCTGGAGTGCAATGGTGTGATCTCGGTTCACTGCAACCTCCACCTTTTGGGTTCAAGTGATCTCCTGCCTCAGCCTCCCAAGTAGCTGGGACTACAGGAATGTGCCACCATGCTTGGCTAATTTTGTATTTTTAGTAGAGACGGGATTTCACCATGTTGATCAGACTGGTCTCGAACTCCTGACCTCAGCCCCCCAAAGTGCTGGCATTACAGGCATGCGCCACTGCGCCTGGCCAGGTATCAGTAGTTTTTATGGCTGAATGATATTCCATTGTATGGCTATACCATAATTTGCTTATCCACCTGTTCACTGATGGGCATTTGAGTCATTTCCACCTTTTGACTATTATGAATAATGCTTCTATAAACATTTTTGTACAAGTTTCTGTGTGGAACTGTGTTTTCATTTCTCTTGGGTTTTGGAGTTGAATTCCTGCGTCATAATTTTATGTTTAACATTTTGAAAACGAACAGCCTGTTTTCCACTGCAGTTAGATGATGGTCCTGTAAAGCCTCAAAACTCTGGACCTGAGCAGCTCTGCCTTGGGCCCCAGGACTGCGGATGCACAGGGCGTATGTTGGGGGTGATTTTCTCATAGAGGTCCACTCTCTTGGATAATCCTCAGTAACAAGAGAAGCAGGACACTGCCCCCAAGTGGCTTTGAGACTCTTGGGCAGGGGAAACTGAGGTCTGCAGGTGGGGCTGGTGGTGGTGCAGCTACTCAGGCGCTGAGGTGAGAGGATCCCTTGAGCCTAGAATGTTGAGACTGCAGTGAGCTGTGATCATGTCACTGCACTCCAGCCTGAGCTACAGAGCAAGACCCTGTCAGAAAGAAAGAAGAAAGAAAGAAAGAAGGAAACAAAGAGAGATAGAGAAAAAAGAAAAGGAGAAAGGAGAGATAAAAAAGAAAGAAAAACAGAAGAAAGAAAAAGAAGAGAGATAAAGAACAAAGAAAAAGAAAAAGAAGAAAGAAAAGAGAAAAAGAGAAAGAAAGAAAAAGAGAAAGAAAAAGAAAGAAAAAAGAAGGATGGAAGGAAGGAGAAAAGAAGGAGATCGAGAAAGAAAAAGAAAGGAGAGGAGAGGCTTGGAACCAGAGTGGATAGAAGCCCCCTCTTGACCAGGGTGCGGATCTGCAGGGCATTTGTCTGCTGGCTTAGGAGGTTCCCACTCCAAGTGGGGGGCAGGACTCACTTCTGGGCCTCAGTATCAAGGACACGGCTGGCTGGGAGTAGGCAGTGGGAGGATGTATAGATATTTGCTTGCCCCGTGAAGGACAGAGTGGAGGTTATGCCTAAACACGATGCCAGCTCTAGCTGGCACCCAGAGCTGAAGAGAAAGCCTTTAGGATGAAACTTCCCTTCTGCCAAAATAACTAGTGCCAGCTGGGCATTGTGGCACAATTCTGTAGTCCCAGTTATTCAGGAAGCTGAGGCAGGAGGATTACTTGAGCCCAGGAGCTTGAGGCCAGCTTCGGCAACATAGTAAGACTCTGTCTCTAAAAAAATAATCAGTAAAAAGCCATTGCAGCTTCCTGAATCTTCCCCAGCAGCCTGGGGTGGGGTGCTCTGCTTTTCAGAGCTGCTTCCAGACCTTCATCCTTCCCTCCTTCTCCTTCCTCTTCTTGTTCCCATCGCAACCCCATCACCCCTGAGCCACACCCTCTTGATCAATTGCTGAAAATTTTAGCACCTGGCTCTGGCATGCTCTCTACCTTTGACACTCACATCAAGGCACTTGGATCTCTTCTCCACCCACAATCTTGCCTTCCACCTTCAGGTGTAGATGCTGTCAGGACAGAGCTCCATCTGCTCCCAAGGCCAAGTTTTCCAACTCCGTGCAGCTAGGTTTGCCCTCCCTCCTAGCGTGGTGGATGTGACTACCAGGGCCAGGACTAGGGTGAAACAGGCCAGCAAAGTGCCCAGGGCATAAAAGTTAAAGAGGCACTCACCCCCAGGGTCATACCAGTAGAGGGTCGGCACCTGAGAGTGAGTGCCTTCTAAATTTTACATTTGCTTGTCTTGCTTTAGTCCCAGCTCTGGGACCTACCCATGGACACCAGGCCCTGGTCCCCTCCCTCCTCCTCAGGGTTGTCTCTTTGGCAGTGGCAGCCCTCCCATCAGCTGCAAATACAGCTTCTGTGTAAATGCAACC